GCCTGCTGTGTTCATCCAGCCCTGCACCTTGTTGTCTCATAAGTTGCTGGAGCAGGTCTGGCAAATTCTGAGGAGAGAACAGTTAACGTTTTGAGTCTTGTTTCCTTCCTTCCTTCAGCACAGAACCTTGTTTTTCTCTCTGCACGGATGCTGTCAGACCTGCTGAAGTTTCTCCAGCAATTTCTGTTTTTCTTTCCTAACGCCCCCCAATTTGGCTGCTTGTTTCTCCGCAACTCCGGCTATCTCTCTCGCAGTCTCTTTATACTTTCTCGTCCCGTACGCTGCCAGCAGCGGGGATCCGAAAGCGGGCGGACGGACGGGATGTCCGCTCTCCCTACCGGAAGGTGCCCGACCAGATTGAGTCCGCTGTGCCTCATAAACGTTCCTCAGACAAACGGCGTTTAAAACAAGTCGAGGCGCAGTCACTTTCCATTAGTTTTAAAACCAGAGAACGGAATGATAATTGCGGTATTCAGGCTGTAAAAAGACGATTGCAGAGAGTTTTGAGAAAACGCGAGAGTCAGAAATTGCGGTGATGTAAAATAAAGCAGCAATGTTAATATTTCTGAATTTAAAATGTGAGTTTGGGAGTCAGGCTGGAGATACGATAAAAGAAAAGGTCTGTAAGTATCTATTTAAGTTGAACCATCAATTAGGGAGAATGTGATGGTGTTGGATGCAAGAAAGGTTCGTGTGGTGTGTGACAAGGCTAAAGGACTTGGAGTATGGCAGCAAAGGTCGAGAAGAGATTTTTGGTGTTCACCTTTTGCTGAGGTGTTCAAACTCGTGGATCTGGACTCACATATATACAGAGGAACTTCTTTCGGCGAAGGGTTTAGGGAGAATGGCAGACCAAAAGCAAGGGAAGGATATCTTTTTGGCACAATTGGTAGCTTGGATGTGGAATGCATAGCTTGAGTGTATGTTGAAGATAGATTTAATTGTGGCTTTCAGAAGGCAATGGATAATTATGAGTCATAGAATCGCTACAGTGTGGAAACAGTTGGCCCATCAAGTCCACACCGACCTTCCAAAGAGCTTGTGACCCTGACTCACCCCTCCCCCCCCCCCCCTCTCCCTCCCTGTAACCATGCATTTCTCATGGCTAATCCACCTAGCCGATACGTTCATGGACACTATGGGCAATTTAGCATAGCCAATTCACCTAATCTGTACAGCTTTGGACAGTGGAAGGAAACCAGAGCACCCATGCAGACACGGAGAATGTGCGGACTCCACACAGATGGTCGCCTGAGGGTGGAATTGAATCCAGGTCTCTGGCTAACCACTGAGCCATCATGCCAAAAAGTCAAAATATTTGCAAAACTACAGAAAGAATGTGGTGGAGGAGACTGATTAAATTGCTTTTCCAGAGATCTTGCATGGATCTGGCTGGCTGAAAGGTCTCCTTTTGTGCTGTAACAATTCTATCATTCTAAGAATTATGTCCTTGTATTTGTATAATTCCCCATACTTCTCCAGTAGCCTAATTATACTATCCTGAGTGTTTAAGTGTGTGTTCAAATATTGCCCATACTTCCAGTCATGTATCCTTTCTGGGGCACCTATAAGATAATTTGCCAAATGAAGTAACTGGATTGAAGCATTAGGAAATGTAAGATCCCCATTTTCTACTATAGCAACATAAACCTAGCACCTTTTAATGTAATAAAACATCCCATGGCATTTCCCTATGGTATTTACAGTTTGGAGCTCAGCAGCTGATGCTCTGAGGGTGGTAGGGGAATTAAAATCTGGGATGTGAAAGTGGCCAGAGTTGGAGTAATACATATATTTCATAGGGTTATGGTGGTGATATGTTGAGAGTTTTGAAAGTAGGACTTGGCACTCATTCAAGCAATGCAGGTTTGAAAACATATTGTGTATAGGTGAATGGGCTTATTGCAAGTCGGGACAGCAGATCTTAAATGATCTCAAGTTCACAGGGTGTGGACTATGTGGGATCAACCAGGAATGCAAAGGAATAGTTGAGTATAGAGATAACAATGGTATGAGTGACAATATCATCAGCAGATGCACTATTAAAAGGTAAAGTTAGGTGACATTACAGAGGTGGATTAGCTGGTTTTGATGATGGCACAAATATGTGGTTGAATGCCTATCTTGGTTCAGCTTTAGTTGGTTTCGTCTCTAACTGTTGCTGGGGAGAAGGATGGAGTTGGTAGTTGCGGAATAGAGTATGAAACAGGGACCAAATCAATGACTTCAGTCTTTCCAATACTTAATTGGAGAAAATTTCTGCTTATTCAGTTTTGAATGTCAGATATTAAATTTGATTACTGAGGAACAATGGAGAAGTTGTGAATGGTGTCATCAGTGTACATATGAAAGCTCATACTCTTCCTTTGGATGATATAATTGAAGAACAACATATCAATGTGAAATATGTTAGATCCTTGAGGAAGACACCAGAGATAACGGTGTGGGAGAAGGAAAATAAAACAATACAAGTATTACTTTGGCTACGATTAAATAGATAAGAATGGAACCAAGTGAAAGCAGTCTCACACAGCTAGATGTCATTGGAGAAATGTTGGAGCACCTGGGGACAAAGTGTGGAACTTGGTAGTAGCAGTTTAGTGCGAATAGGCATGAAATTAGAAAGGCTAGAGATAAGAAAAGCCCTGTCAAAAGTGCTTCTTCCAGCAACTAGAGATAGTTGGCTTGGATATGGACTATAGATACTTTCTAATCAACCTGCTGAGAGATGTGCTGGAAGAGCTCAGCAGTTCTGGCAGCATCTGTGGAGAGAAATCAGAGTTAACATTTTGAGTCAAGTGACCTTTTCTCCACAGATGCTACCAGACATGCTGAACTTTTCCAGCATTTTCTGTTTTTGTTTCTTACTTACAGCATCCACGGTTCTTTCGATTTTGTTTTTTTTTTTTGCTTTGCTTAGAGATGTATTACAAATCTCACGAGCAGGTGATACTTGAACCCAGGCCTCTGGTCCAGAGGTAGGGCTCTAACAATGTGCCACAAGAGCCTCTGAGCCATAAACTGTACCCAAGTACCTCAATCACCTAGGCCTTGATTCCAAAACTCTTAGTTTCTTTGCTTGTTGGGTGATTTTTCCAAATTCTCCCATCTTGGGTGTTGCAATCATTAGTTAGGATTTGAACTCACCACTCCCAACTGGCATGCATGAAGAATGAGAAGCGATCTTAAATCATTTGAGGAAGCTAAAATTAGTTCAGAGAAAAGAACTAGCTGATTATAAAATCTCCATCTGCTAGTTTGCTGCGATTTTTCACCCAGGATCATAAGAACATAACCGGACAAAATCTTTCCATTTTGGCAGGAATAATTTAAATTGTGTGCTTTAATATCTTCTATGAACTTACTTGAGAAATCTATTAACCTTTATGTAAACAAAATTGTCCAATTTCCTTTCTTATTGACTTCCTAATTTTTGTGTTCACCTTCCCCCATCCGCTGTTGAGAGTTTGAATTGTTTGTTTCATTCAAAATTATGCCCAAGTGTATTCAAGTTCCTTGCTGCCTGTAATGATAAGCCAATAATCTGCATTGAACAACAAACCATTGAACAACAAACATCTAACTGATGACTGCACAAAAGATACAAATCCTGTGCTGTTAGATTTAATTTTTTTTCATTATTTGCTTCCAATTTCAGTAGGCATGAAGAAAAAGAAAATCTTTCATCTATATAGCACCTGTCCCTACCTCTGGCCCAAAGCACTTTACAGACAATTAAATATTTCTGAAATATTGTATCACAAATTGCAATGTCATAATGTCTTGATAACCACGTTTTTGATGTCAATTGAGAAATAAATATTGACTGGGATGTGGGATAACTCCTCTACCCTCATTTGAAATAGCACAGGGGATCTGTTGCATCCTGTTGAAGACAGATTGGGTCTCAGTTTATTGTGCCATCTGACAGACAGCACCTGTGACAGTGCAGCATTCTCAGCACAGCACTGGAGTGTCAGCTTGGACTTTGTGTGAATCTTTGAAGTTGGACTTGGACCCACAATTTTCAGAATCAGAGACCATGAAAATACCAACCAAAATTACCTGTGCTTTCAAAGGTGTGCCACAACCTGAAACTTCCCTGCTGGCTGTTCACAAATCATCCATTTTGAGATGCTGCAGTTGTGCAGCCATGCAATAACATTTCATTTGGAACTGTGCATTCAGTTCAATCGGCCATGCACAACAAAAAATATAGGTAGAATATTTCTCCCACCTGAGCTATGACTGGTATTACTGAAGGTATTACTTTCAGTTCCTTTTTTAAAATCCTGTCTTGGGTTAAGCATTTCTTCACCCTTTGTAGCATTTGAGAGTGGAAGTTGAATTGCATTAGGAAAACCAAAAGTACGAAGTCTTGTACAAAATAACAAACCTAGGCTTTTGACAAGTTTTGGTTCCTGATCTGGATTAGCCAATATTGCACCTGCAATATTATAAATCTCATCCTTCAATTCAATTCCCATCATGGCCTTACCTTTTCCCCATTCTTTGAAATCTTCTTCGACCTTGTAACACTGCTGCAACATCTGTGCTTATCCAATTCTGGCCTTTTGCTCAGCTTCTTTAACCAAGCATTTGACTATGTTCCCTAATGTCTTGTATGTAGCTTGATGCCATATTCTGTTTTATAATGCCTTCTGTGAAGTGTCTTGTGCCATTTTAATGGCTTAAACGTGCTGCGCAAATATATGTTGTTAAACGGGTTACATCGTAGCTGTGAAGAAAGCGATTCTTGCTTGAAATCTCATCAAGAAGCTTGCATTTGTATTGCCTGTTTGTACAAGAGTCACAGTATGTAAAATGAATGTGAAATGGTCTGGAAGAAGTATGATGGGTAGCTTTGAACTGTGACCTAGTTATCATGACATATCCATTGTCATTATCTTAAAACTTGATATATTTTTCAGTTTTACTGGAAAACATTTAATCTTCAGGGGAGGAACTGATTCTAACGTGGTCATATTGTGATGAAGAAATGGTAGATGAATGGGTCATTCGTTAAATTTTGAGTACGTTACTGAGAGCTCCAAGGAAAAGGATAGAAAAACCTCGACCAATGATGTTGGGAAACTTGTTTTTAAACATGGTATTCTTGCAGATGTCAAAAATGCCAACAGCTTAAACCAATCACGACCAGTTCATATACTTTGCCCTGTTGGTTTAAGGTTATACTGTCTTCCTCTCCAGTCTAAAATGGAAAATATTTCATCAGGAATGCAAGTATGTCCATTTTGTGGTAAAGCTTTTAAGCGACTGAAAACACATCTTCCTCACTGTAAAATGGCCAGAATTGTGAACAGTAAATATAATTCTAAAGAGACAGAGATAAATATTGCAATTCCACAGCAAAAATTAAATTGCAAATGCTCTCCAGCATCATCCAACAAGAAAATGAAAGTTAAAGCAAACTCAGCAAAGATTTTAACACAAAAGGAAGAAGCTTCATCAACAAAAAAGAACAATCATTCAATAGGTTTGGGAAATGAACTATGTGCTTCTGTACAAAGTATTCAGCACAAAGATATTAATGAACCACTGTCAGGTCAAGAAGATTTGATGAACAAGGGACGGCAAATCAAAAAAAAAAGTCAACAGTCTGTTAGTAAGACAACTAAAGGACAACCTAAACGGGCAAAAAAAGAAATGGTCATAAAAACAAAGTCAAGTGAGCATTTTTTAAAACGTGATGACGATAAAGTAGATATGAAGTTAAATGGTACTGCCACAACAAAAGTGAAGAGTTCTCAGAAGATTGTAAAGGACAATTGTATAAAGAAAAAACAAGAAAATAATGAGCATAGTTCTCTAACACACCCACTGAATGAAAAAGGATGCACTGACTTGGTATCGCAAAGTACATTTTGTCCAAAAGGGAAATCAATTCTTAATTTAGAACAAATTTACATTCAACCAGAATTTGAAAAGGAGACAGCTGTGTTGGATCTGAAGGCCTATGAAATTGTACCTCGGCTATCTTGTGCTATCAAATCAAATTCACTTCACTTTACAAGACAAGAGAATGCAGTTTCTCAAGATGATTTAAGATGTCAAGCCAGCCAGAATGAAGTCACAGAAAGGATGGTCTCATATATACCAGTAACTGAACAAAATCCAGTAATTAACATCAAAACTAGTGTGTGGCATCACATTAAAAATAATTTGTGTAAATCAAGAACCAGTGTAAAACAGGATTTCATTTTGAAAGCTAATAGGAATGGTTATAGAGCTGATGTTTTAAAGACAAGTCATTGTAATTCCTCTGCTAATAATTACATTTCCAGTGAAATTATGACTTCTGTGCAGGTGAAGGATTTAAATAAATATAAAGGCAATCCACATATTGATGATGTGGCTGTGAAGGAAATGGAACCAAGTGACTGCAACATAAATGGTGCCACACCATCTGAATATTTGCATTTGTCCCAGAAAGAAAATATTTGGAAAAAAGACTTGTTCTCATCAACGAGCTCCAGGAAAACAGTGCATTTGGATGAAAGGATTAAAGAACCTCACCCTAGTTTTTGCAGACAAACTGGGATAGGAATGGAGTGGTTTCCTGAACTGTATCCAGGATACCATAGTATTGGACTGAGAATGCTTCCTGAACAAATTAAACAGTTGGAAACACCTATAAGACTATCTGCCATTTGGTGTGAAAACACAAAAGGTACAATTAGTAGTATGTTTAAAATGTTTTAATCTGCCACATTTTGATGATTTGTCTACTGTGACATGACTTAGTTGGACATTTGTAATATTTGCTTTGGGGAAAAGAGCAATTTTAATACTTCAAAATATAAAATTATCTAATCTAACTATATAATTTTACATTTTGTCCCAATCATATATAATTTATCTCTCATTATCCTCTGTTTTACTGACTAATGTCTATATTTCCTTACCGTGGATGTTCAGGTGGCCAAATATTTATATGGAAGATGTAATGTCTCTAACTTCTCAATGTCTGAGCCAAACACCTAGTGCATATTATGGAGGTAACTGAACCATTTGTTCTGGTCTGTGGATGCAGACACAAGCTATTCCTTTCTCATCAAGGAAGTACTTCCTGATGCTTCCTACAATCTGTAGAAGTGAAATGTCCAAGTTACTTCATGGGGTTAGCCAGGTAGCCTGGAAATCCAAAACTGAATCGGATCATTGTTTGCATTGGGTAATCGCTTTTTTATACATCTATCTTGATTTGTGCAACTATATAGAACTTAAATTCTATTTCATGTAATGTTCTTCTGAGATTGCCCTACATTTGACTTGCATGCCTTGCATCTTTAAAGAAGTAACATGCGCAATATTTGTACACTTACAAATAGAATTATATCAACAAAAGTTGATGTCCATTGTAGCGAAGTTTCACAACAAAGCTTAACTGTTGCAAATCATTTTTTCACCTAATTTTGAAATTTGGTGTAGTATTCCTTTTGTTAAAAGTGCTGTTTGTGTCTTCTGGCTTGAAGTATAACTTTGTAGTGGAAAAGTATATCGGTGTTGATCTATTTGTGTCATGTATCCTGTGTAATCAGTTCATGTTCTAGTTAATGCTCCATTTTAGCCTGCTCCCAACTTTCCTTCGAACTCACATCATAACCCCCTATTCCTTTCTCATTGATTCCTCTCAAATATATAATTCACTTCACCAACTCCCTATGATGTCTAACTTCCTTTGCTTGTTTCTTTTGAAGCTATTTGATGATGTGCCTTGGACAGAGCATTCTATTGGTGAAGTGAAAGCAAAATCACATCCATTTTGCATTTTGTGTGTATATGTGCAATAAATTGCCAATTTTTTATGTAGACACTGTTTTAAAGAGGAGTCATTATCCAAATATATTCTGTGAAATTTGCTTGCATTGTCACCAGAATAGAAGTATGATATAGCGTGGTTGTCAGTGGTTTTTTTTTTCACTTATTCAGCCGTGGGATGTGGGCATCACTGGCTAGACCAAATGCTGTGGGTCTGGCATCACATGTAGGCCAGACCAGGTAAGGATAGCAGATTGCCTTCCCTAAAGGACATTAGTGAACCAGATGGGGTTTCCCCAATGGTTTCATAGTCATCATTATTTCTAGATTATTATTGAATTCAAACTCCAGCATCTGCCATGACAGAATTTGAAACCAGACCCTCATTATCTGGGTCTCTGAATTAATAGTCTAGCGATAATAACACTTGGTCATTACCTACCCCTTTTTGATTTGTTCAAATAAAGCCATTGTTCTCTTCATGAAATAATCACATTGTGTAAATGGGGTAGTTGTATAAAGAGGGAGGAAATGGAAACATTAAAGTACATCGCTGTAGATTGAACAGAACACAAGTTCTCAGCTTTCATTTTTATCAGCACTAATGTCAGATTATCTTGCTGGTGTACTTGGCCCTGGGAGAACAGGTCTTATAATCTTATTACAAAATGCTGATTAATGAATAATTCAAATTTATATAGTGTTTTTTTTGACCTCAGGATGTTCCAAATGTTTTACAGACCAGAAATACTTTTTAAGTGTAGTCACTGCTGTAACGTAGGAAATACAGAAGCATATTTGTGTTTGAAATGCTCCTGCAAAGACCTGCTAGATTAACCTGTCTTTAATAATATCACATGGGGGAAAAATATTGAGCAGGACATCATTAGGGAAAACTCCCCCACCTTCCAAATAGTACGTTGGGATTTTTTTTGCATTGATTTGGAAGGCCCAAGTTTAATGGCACAGGTCTTCTGGTCCTAATGTTGACTAATACCTCCAACAGTACAAGATTTCCTCAGTCTGTGGGTTGGAACTTGAACCTGCAATTTTCTGACTGAAAGGATTACAAAAGAAGAATTACAAAAGAGCTACCACTGAGCAGAAGCTGACAATTGATTGCTGATTGGCACTCCATAGTGAGTAATTGCCTGCCCTCATAGATGGCAAGTTCCCTAGGAGGAAAGATCAAAAAAAGGGAGAACAATAGAGTAGAAATGAATTTGTCCATTAAACAGGAGAAATAATTATTTTGAAACTTATTTCCTGCAGGTCATAGTAAATATTGCAGTAAATATATGAACCCATGGAGAAGAGGAGCTGGAGGTGCGATCACTTTGCTTTTGGGATGTGCAATCTTCAGCTACATTTGGAATTATGATTTCATCAGTGAGTACATCAGTGTCTTTTGACAGACCATGGGAAGGTAGAGAAAATACTTTCAATGTTAACGCCATCATAACGGGATAAAATTATGTTTCTAATTATCTCACTAGTGTACAAATGATCACAAACTAACATGTTTTCCAAGACTTTCCATCACCACCTCTCGTTTAAAAAAAAAACAATGTGCCCATTCCTGTTCAGCAACTAGTAGAGTTAGTTAGGGACGTTCTTGCTAAAGCCATTAATTCTTTAACAGCTATTGAAACCTTTGTTTTTAGAACACGATTACAGGAGAAAATACCATTGAGAATTTGGAACTACAATGTTTTTCTGATTCATTCCACTCCAAAATCAAAAAGTTGAAGATATATGAAGAAAAAACATCAAAAATTTTGCTGTGGATTTTAATTATTGTGCCTTTCAGTTATTGTGCTTTGCATTATGTAGGAGAGGCATGAATAAGATGAGTATACCTGAGTTGCTTTACTGTAAAGATATTTTAAAATTTTACAAGCTATAAATAGAGGTATTATTTTAGAGTGTCATTTGTCATTGTTTTTGTATGTCATTGTTGATGTAAAGTGATTTCAGAATGCACTTTCCTGACTACTACAGGTAGAAACATATCTTAAAATAAAATAAATAGAACTTTCAAGGAAGTATTTTGGAAAAACTGACTGTAAGTAGTTAAATAAATGGCAATAAGCAAAATAGTCTTGCTTGTAAGATTTTTAGCATTCTACCATCCATCAAAATCTTGTTCCAGATAATCTTTTCTTTTGTTTAGGAAAAAAAAACAGCATTATGTAGGCAGTACCATTTGTTGCTTGAGGTAGAAGAAAACCTGTACATCTTAAAGCATTTGCTGAAACAAACAATCAAGTTGGTTACACTTTGAAACACACTGAACAAAATTATCTTGTGCTTTCTTCAGATTTGTATGAGGAGCTTGACTGTGCTAATTTCAAATAAATTTACTACTTACTTTTATAAATGTATTTTCTTGCTTTTTACAATCCATCGGTTCTGAATGATAGAGGCTTTTGCTACTGTGTCTACGCAATGTTGGTGATGCCTTGCTGTTCACCTTTTATTAGCAGCCAGCAGAACAAATTAGCTTCTTGACAGTGCCGTCACATTGCTGCTGGAACCGTAGTCATGGAATTTGAAGTATTTAAAATTCTGCTACTCCATACTTATAATATTGGAGTGAGAAATAGCAAAACACAGTTTTAAGATGGAAACAGACATCCGACACTTTATGTGGTAGGATGAGAATCTATCACTGATTGCAAAAAGTTAAAATATAACCAGATGCAAATTTACAGTAGGACTGGATTAATGATGCTGTACTGAACCTCACCGTTTATAGCAGAAATACAATCACTAATGGGGATTATTTTTCAGTTACACTTCCTGATGCAGTTTAAATGGAGTATTGCTTAAATCACCATTACAGGAGATCTCAACAAAATATATTTCCGAACAATGCACTAATGCTTTCATGCAATATATAAACCTGAGTGGGAATCAAATCCATTATCATTAGAACTTCAAATAACTCATGGTCTGAGTTTTCCTCATGGTAGATGGTTGTCATTTTCTAATTAGTATTTTCTTTACTCTTTCATGGAATAGGGATATAATTTTTCACCAATGCCTAATTGTCCTTGAGAAGGTGCTGGTGAGCAGTACCTTTTTTATTCAGTTGTGGGACGTGGGCATCGGTGGCTGGCCAGCATTTATTACCTGTCCCTAGATGCCCTTAAAGTTGGTGGTGAGCTTCCTCCTTGAACTGCTGCAGTCTACATGCTGTGGGTTGATCCATAGTACCCTTAAAGAGAATTCCAGAATTTTGACCCACCAACATTAAAAGGAACGGTGATGTATATCCAAGTCAGGATCGTGAGTGGTTAGCAGGTAGTGGTGTTCCCATTACCTGATGTCGTTGTCCTAGATGGAAGTGGTCATGGTTGTCACCATTTTCTCAAGGGTAACTAGGGATGGGCAATAAGTGCTGGCCATCCAGCCACATCCATGTCCCACAAGTGACTAAAAATAGTTGCTGCTGTTCAAGCAGAATGCTAGTGGGAGTTTGTGCTCAGATTGAAGGCACTAAGTTCTTGGGGAATTAAATGAGGCTAGAAGGTTCACCTAGAGAAAGGATCTGCAGTATAAACCTCACTTTGAATGCCAGTTCGTGGATTAGAAATTATCTAGCTAGGAAAGGAAGCAAGTCATCAGAGGTGGAAAATAACTTTAGACTGATTCCAGGAGAATGAAGTACCCACAGCGGTATAACTGGAGGGGTATTTTTTAAATTATGTAAAAAGTTGAATGGGAAAACTTTGTAATTTAGATCATAAGTCATCTACAAAAACTTTGCAAGTGATTGAGAACACTAGTGGAATGCTATCCTTTATCAGAAGAGGAATTAAACATAAAAGTGAAGATGAAAATTGCAGGGTATTAGATCACACCTTGAATACAGTATGCTGTTTTAGTTTCATTATTGAAGAGATGTACATGCATTTCAAGTAGTTCAAAGGTGGTTTGTTTGTTTGATAGCTGGAAATAAACAGGCTGTCTGATGAGAAAATATTGGACAGGCTTGGCTGGCACTTAGAGTGAAGGGTGCTTTGCAGTTTAAAATCCTAAATAGTCTTAACAAGATAGAGTAAATATCCTTTCCACATCTTTCTAGAAAGTCTAGGCATAAAAGGGACATTGTTTTAAAGTTAGGGATCACACTTTTAGGGCATAGAAGAGGGGAATTTTATTTTCCTCTCCCAGTGGGGTTGAGATTTTGGAATTGTCCCTAACTCAAGGCAGTGGAGGTGAGATCATTGATTATTTGTCAGGCACAGTTATTATTTAGTAAAGGAATTAATCTAAGATTGAGGATATATGGGAATAAATAATTTGGAGCAGAGATTATTGGTGATCTTTTGAATGGCAGAGAAATCTTTAAGGGTCATACGGCCTACCACTCCTGTTCCATGTTTGTAAAAGTATTTTTAAAAATACCTCTCATGATTCTGTCACTGAAATATAAATTAAAAGTTTGATTCAACTGATAGTGCCACAGAAAAGAATAAGTTAGAAACAGTAGGACTCAGCAAAAGAGACCATGTATTGTGCACTTTGGCAGGAAGAATTGAGGAGCTAATTATTTAAATGGAGCAAAACAAAGCTTTAGTACAGGAGGAATTGAGGGGTCCAAATGCATGAATCAGAAAATGCCACCATACACATTCAGCAGGTAATAGCAAAGACTAAAACAAAGGGATATTGTCCTTAATTTCAAAGGGAGTGGAGTATATAAATGGCAAGGTCTTGCTTAATCTATACAAGGCATTATTTAGACTACACCTGGTACGCTGAACATTTTTGAACTCCTTATCTAGGGAAACATACTGGCAATAGAGATAGTCTAGAGAATGTTCACTGAGTTAATTCCAGGTGTGAAAAGATTTAAATAAATGATAAGGGGTCATATATATTTGGCTGTACTCAATGGAATTTAAAAGAATGAGGGCAAGCTTATTGAAACAGAATATTCCTAGATTTATTGGAAGCCATCCCCAATGGAATATTAAAAAAGTCACATTTCACAGAAACCCAGTACCAGCACTACATAGTGGTGTTTCAGTGAGTATACAGAGAAATGAGAACCCCTCACCATGGGCAGTCAAATAAATAATTCATTTGAGGCAGTGTGTTACAAGCATAATGTTAAAAAAGTAAACCTTAGAAAAAAGTCCTAAAGCATGGAAGTGGGTTATTAAATGAAATGAATCCCACTCATTTTAGTTTAAAAGAGGCACCACTGTACTGAAGTACTGAGCTCATACATTGATGTGTTGCAGATCAGCATTTTAAGCATACATTGTAGAATTGGCAATAAGGTCTTCTATTCAAATGAATGTTCTTCGAACTGTTCAGACTTCCTTCGTAGTATGGATGTTTTCCAGATTTTACAGGTCACATGGGATTCAAAGAACAAATTACAGCAACTTAAGTGGCTCCATAAGATTAGCCTGTGAGAATTTCAGACATGTGGAGTGCAGTGGTGGAGTTTTGACCATGGTCTCCTTAGATAGTAAGGAATAGTCATAGCAGTTTAGAACAGGCTAAATTTTTGTCGTCAAGTTTGGGGAAAAAAATTTAGATAGGGAGATTGATCCCTGAGCTATGGGTCATGCATTAGGTGCAGCTCTGCAAATAAATGATAACAGCATCTTCTATTTATATAACCCTTTAATGTAATAAGTTATTCCAAACCACTTTACAGGAGCATTATCCACATGTGGATAACAACTTCTTGCATCAGCACCCTCATACTAGCCCAACAATAAATTCATAACTTGGAGGGAACAGAACAAAAAATTGATAAAAAGTGATTCAGTGCAATAAACTAGTTTCTTGTCAAGCAGTTTTAATCTCATTAAGGATAAGAGAATATTATTTACATTTTCTGAACTTGTAATATTGGATAAAAAGTTATTTTGCACATTAAATCTTTTGACAGTCCTGGGTTTCAGATCCATTTCCACAGTTGCTCCAGTTGACACTCATCTTAGTTTATTGTCTGACATTCATTGTTGCATTTGTTCATGAGATGTCCCTTCTCTCTACACTGACGGGAAGGAAGAAAAGAAATTTCAAAATTTGAGTTGCACAATAACTTAATTTAGGAAGCAATATTTGCTTAGTTTTTAAACTGCTGTTACTTTCACATATGATCTGTCAAAACATTTTAGTTTCAGCTAGTTTAAATGAATCATGCTCAATTAGTTCCTTTGTTAGATACAAAGAGGAACTCTAATGTACTGCACTTTGTAAAAGAATGTACAGACAGCTTGAGCAACAAAGCATGAAGCATTTTTGTATTTTAATTTTAATTGGTTACAAAATTAATTACTCAATGATGGAAAGAACAGGTCAAGAGACAAACACTTCAAAAAATTTTGAACATCTAGAGTCTTTACTGCATGGCCTCTTCCTCCCTCTCCTCCAAAATGGGTAGAATTACAGCTGTATTGATATACAAAACCAGAGACTGAAGAGTTTTTGATTCAAGTAATGTCTTGATCAAATAACTAAGCATTAACATGGGGAGGTAACACCCTAGTGGCATTATCACTGGTTTGTTAATCCAGAGAGACAGATAATGCTCTGGGTTCAAATCCCACTACAGCATTTGAATTCAATAAAAATCTGGAATTAAAAAGTCTAATGATGACCATGAATCCATTGCAGATTGTCAGGAAACACCCATCTGGCTCACTAATGTCCTTTTGGGAGGGGAAACTGTCTTCATTACCTGGTCTGGGCCACATGTCACTCCAGACCCATAGCAAATGTGGTTGACTCAAATTGTCCAGAGGGCAGTTATGGATGGGCAATAAATGCTGGCCTAGCCTACAGCACCTTCATTCATTTGTGGTAAAAGTTGTAACTTAGTTGTTAATCAATTAGTAGATAGCAAATTTTTAAAAACAGCTGGTTTGTAATTGATGTGAATTAAGCGTTCTTTACATAGAACATAGAACAATACAGGCCCTTTGGCCCACAATGTTGTGCCGACCTATTATCTTACTATGATCAAACTACCCTGCATACCCTACATTATACTATGATCCATGTGCCTATCCAAGAGTCACTTAAAAGGTCTCTAATGTATCTGACTCCACTAGCACTGCCAGTGCATTCCACACACCCACCACTCAACTTACCTCTGACATCTCCCCTATACCTTCCTCCCATCACCTTAACATTATGTCCCCTCGTAATAGTTATTTCCCCCCTGGGAAAAGTCTCTGGCTATCTATGCCTTTCATCATCTTGTACACCTCTATCAAGTCACCTCTCATCCTTCTTCACTGCAATGAGAAAGCCCTAGCTCCCTCAACCTTTCCTCAAGATCTGTCCTCCAGTCCAGGCAGCATCCTGGTAAATCTCCTCTGCAACCTCTCTAAAGCTTCCACATCTTTCCCGTAATGAGGTGACCAGAACTGAACACAGTATTCCAAGTGAGTCTAACCAGAGTTTTATGAAGCTGCAGCATAACGTCATGGCTCTTAAACTCAATTCCCCCGCTAATGAAAGCCAACACACCGTACACCTTTACAACCCTATCAACTTGGGTCACAACTTTGAAGGATCTATGGACATGGACCCCAAGATCCCTCTGTTCCTCCACACTGCCAAGAATCCTGCCATTAACCCTGTATTCTGCATTCAAATTCAACCTTCCAAAATGAATCACTTCACACTTTTCTGGGTTGAATTCCATTTGCTACTTCTTTGCCCAGCTCTGCATCCTGTCAATGTCCGGCTGTAACCTACAATAGCCCTACATGCTATCCACAACTCCACCAACCTTTGTCATTGGCAAACTTACTAACCCACCCTTCCACTTCCTCATCAAAGTCATTTATAAAGATCACAAACAGCAGAGATCCCAGAACAGATCCCTGTGGAACACCACTGGTCACCGAGCTCCAGGCTGAATACTTTCCATCTACTACCTCCCTCCGTCTTCTATTGAAGTATTTGTTGACAGACTCAGCCTTCATAGAACTTTTTGCCTGCAGTGCTATCCATTGTAAAAATTGGGATCTCGGACACTTCCTATAGAAGACTACAATTTTTACCTTGGCTGTTAGATAAACAGCCTATTTGGGTGAAGAGAACATGTTGGAAGTCACATTATTACTATCATTCTATAATTACCATAGACATGGATCATAAGTTTAACATTAAGTTCAGATAAACTAATTATCACTTTAAATTCCAACATCAGAATGAGATTCTTTGCAAGATAGTCATCTACTGCAGTACTTTTTAGAACATTTGACAGCATGTTGTAACTTTGACCTTCTAAAGCTAAAATTTGGGAGGATATCATAAGTCTGTTCTTTCCTGAATGGAAAAAGGAATACTCAGCTTCAAACACCTAAATTGGACCTTTGCACTCTGATCCTCCATGGGAAATTTATGCTAATATTCTTGGAAAGCTAACAGCAAGACAGTGGCAATTTGGAAGTGGCCCAGGCAAAGAACATCAATAAATGGTTGTCATCATTTCAGATTTTGGCCACGTTAACATAGCTCATGTTTTACGCTGTTCCTAAAAAAAATGCAAACATTCAACGAGTGAGCAGTGTTGTGTTTTCCACAGAAACATTTGTAATTATCTACTGTGTGTTCAAGGTACCCTTGGGTGTAATATGGGCACGCAAGTGTTTGTATACCTCTGATACTGGTGGTCAAAATCTATTTTAAAGCCAATATCATGCTTTGCTGGGGAAATAAAAACCTCAATGCAAAGTCTGTGACAAGGACTGATTTAATAATTCATTTGTCAGGTATTCTGCCCTGCAACCATACAGCATCTGCAGTTCATGCTACGTGCGAGCTTATCTTTTGAAAGAGACCAATTTTACATTTGTTCCCTATAAAAGATCTTCACTGTTATATTATTCCACTGGAGGGAAATTTCTTAGTTCTCAATATTAATTATGAAAATGCACATTTGGATCAATACTCCTTGTTAAATTTTAACAATCAATCAACACAATTGAAAACCAGAGATTGGTGAACTAATGCAAACATTGAATGGTTTCCCAGAATTCAATCCCATTGGACAGTAAACATTTTAGCTAATAATATGGCGGAAAGATAATCAGTTTGTACTGTCTGAATAAATTGGCTAAATCATTTAAATATCTTTGCTTAAAAGGATATCTTTGTTTATTTTCCACAATGCTTCATGAATTTACTTAAGGAAAAAAGGATATGCAGCAAGCAGCATACTGCACCTGAAGTTGTGTACTATTTAAAACCAGGGTCTCTTGCATTTGACTTTAGTGAATATAAATCCCCAGAGTCCAGTGTTCTTCTCATTTGCATCTGACTAATAGTAGAGTACCCACCCTTCCACCCCCAAGATATAGATTCAGTACAGCTTGCTCCTGAACAGTTCTGTTGGAAGCCTTACATTTTTAGCAGCTTCAGATGTTTCCATTTATAATCCTGTTGCAATGTTAGCTGTGCAATGTTAGAAGTGAACAGACCATATAGAAAACTTTGCCCACTTCTTGCAGCTGCTGCACCAGCCCTAATTCAGGATACATTCTATTCTCTATTGACAGCAGGAAAATTTGTGCAACCCCCTGCCCCAGTCCAGAACAAAAGAACCAGACTTATTTTCGGTCATTGCAAGATGGTGGGATAAGAGTTGAGGGGCAACATGTTTCCCCATTTTGTCCACAATAATGGATTTTATTTTCTGCAAAAAAAAGTGTCACCCAGATTCTTTAATGATTTCTTTATTTCCATTCCCCACTTTCAGTGCAATGCAGTTCAAGAGGTTAGGACCAGAAGTCCTTGGGTTGGGAAATAGTAATAGCAGAAGTGAGCCAACCACTCCTAAAATTGTTAAAAGTAGATTCCAAAACACGATTGTGGTTCAAACTGGAGGTATAACACCATGAAAAATGTCCAAAAAAGTGGTATGGAACACGATTTTAAAAATTCCAGCATCAGCTTCACTTAATAGACCAAGCTGATCATGATTAAGGAACTTTATCTTTAGAAATCCATATTATGAAGGAGTATGGGGTTTGGCTCCAGCTGTGAAAATGCACCTGACATTATGCATGGACACACCATGTTTTCACTCATGCAATACAATTTAATTTTGCAGGTTGTCACTTCCTGGTTTTTGGCTTTGTTTATTCTTTAGGATTCTAAATTTCATTTGCTTTTTTAATCTAAAAACGGAGAAGGAGATGCCATTTCTAAATGATACTTAGTGAGTGGAGTGTTTTGATTTGCTATCTTCTCATTTTAGATTAAATGAAACAAACAAAGAATGCCACTAATCAAGATGACTGTGGTGTAATTTAAAAATAGCAGACTGAATTATGTCAATCCTGTTCATGTGGTAATTGAAATGAGGTATTTATGCTCAGTATTCAAATTTAAAGCCTTCAAATTAAAGTAGCAGACAAATTTAAAACTGGTTAGAAATAAATATACCATATTAGGAGGAGTGATAAATGTTTTGAAATGATCTGGCAGGCTAGTGAAAGCTGCTGACTCCTGTCCTTGACTTTAACAAATTTGCATTCTGAATTTTCTCTAGATTTATTTGGCCATCAGCATCTGGATTCAAAAACAAGACAACCAACTCTAGACAGCCAAATTCTATGATTAAATGATTAACCCATTTGGTTATTTGTTGAATTGGCTGTCCCTGGATCTAATTTAAAAAGATACATATATCTATATCTTAAATGTATACCGGTTTTGTTTTGTCAGTAGACCACCAATCCAAAATTTTGCTGGTCATTAAACACATTAACCTAACTCTTGTATCATTAACAATGTATACATTCACCAGCCAGTACTTCAGTGAAGCAGTTTCAAGAGAAAATACATTCTTAAAAAATGTACCTCATTTAGGTCACTGTTCCAATCAGTGAATTCATTACTCGGACTGAAAAACAGAATAAGTAATTAGGTATTAATTATTTGACTCCAGAAAAAAAGTGTTTCCTGCACTGATGCAGGTCATTTTTTTTTTATTCCTCTTACCATGTATTTCTTGCTTTTGATAAAGCGTAGAAAAGGGTCTGCCCTTGACATCAAGGCAACATTTAAAACAAAATGTACCAAAAAGGAACCCTGGCAAAACTGCAGTCAGATGAGAATCAGGTAAAAAAGGGTTTACTATTTGGAGTCATTCCTAGGATAAAAAAGATGGGTGTGATTGTTGGAGATCAATCATCTCAGCTGTAGGACATCATTATAGGAGTTGCTCAGGATAACATGCTGAGCCCAACATCTTTCGCTGCTTCATTAATGCGTCCCCACCACCATTAGGTCAGAAATGGGGATGTTTAATGATTGCACACTATTCAGCAACATTTGCAATGCTTCAGTACCTGAAGAGATCAGTGCCCAAATGCAACAAGACCTGGTCAACATTGAGGCTTCAGCTGATCACTCCCATCTCCAACAAGACAGCATCTTATAATTGCCTCTTAGAATTCAAAGGCTTTTGTTTTATTGATTTCCCCATCAATGACTTTTTGGGTGGTTACTGTTGGTCCAGTTCAGTTTCTGGACAATCTTAAATATCATGGCTACAAGAGGAAGTCAGAGGCTGGGAATTCTGTCAAATAACTCATGTCCTGGCTCCTGCCCACATCTAAAAGGCACAAGTCAATAGTGTGATGGAATAGTCCCTACTTATCTGGGTGAGTGCAGTTACACCACCACTCATAACATGCAGGTCAAAATGGTCCACTTGACTGTTACCGCATGCAACACCTTCGACATTCACTCCCTTCACCAGTGTGGTGTGTGTACCCTTTAAGATGCACTGCAACCCCTTTGACAGCATCTTAAGCCCATTAATCTGTCATCTAGAAGGACAAGGGCAGCTAATGCATAGTAACACTTCTACCTGCATGTTCCCCTCCAAGTGACACGTCATCCTGACTTGTAACTATGGTGTAATTCCTTCACGGTTGCAGTGTTAAAATCCTGGAACTCCCTTCCTATAAATCAATACCAGATGGACAATTGCATTCAAGAAAGTGAATCACCACCAGCTTGTAAGGGTAATTAGGGATGAGCAATAAATGGTGGTCCAATCAGCAATATCTACAATGAATGAATTAAAAGTTAAAAAGGTTCCTCAAGTTATTTCTAAATTCATGTTGCCATTAACTCTTGAAAGGGGTGGCTACCTGGGCACATTTTCTGCTGAAAAATGTAAGCATCTCAGATTCTGAAGTTGAATAGGTATTCTACATGTGTGAGCTAAGATTATGCAGCCCTTAGCATATCACAGCACCTCAACTGTAGTTCACACCTGGTTAACCAACTTGTACAGTACAGTGCAGTCATCTTTGCTGGGTTGCCAGACACAATTACCAATTTGTGTCCAGCAAGGTATCACAAACCACAAAAGGAGATAAACGAGCAATTGAAGTCAGTTGAAAGAGAGCTCCTCAACCTTTGAAAAGTGCCATGGAGTCTTGTACATAAGCAAAGATGTAGTATGCCTGGTAAACACCTCAAATTAGAGCATATCCAAAAGATGCAACACTCCCTCAGTAGCTCTGAT